AAGTTTTTACTCATAGTCATTGGGTCCTCTTAATCCCTCAAAAGGGTCCGTTATTAATGAAATTCTTAAGAGAAACCCTAAAAACATTATTGAAATGAACCAAAGCATCAATCATGGAGTATAAACTTTCAAGGGTTCGCATTTGGTTAAGGTTATATTTACATAGTGGTTAATTATGGTCATATAGTAAGAAGGTTACAAACTCTTGAAATGCCTCGTGGAAGGTTAAGGATTCTCATTTTGAGGCTATATAAAACACCATGTATAAAAAAAAAGGAGCATTTGTACTTTCCTTTAGTCAATGACTAAGTTTCTTTGCAATTCTATGTAGTTTAAGTTACATGGGTTAGAATCATACAAACTTGACATAATCAATCTTGCTTGAGAAGTGATTTGAATCTCAAACAACTGTTCTTGCATTCATTTGGAATGAAATCAAATTGGTCGGGACTTTTTGCATTAGTACACTAAAATGGTTCATGTACCTAGATGCTTACTAGGGTTCTTATGTGTTCGAGTGTCGAAAAAAGTAATTAAAAAAAGTTAATTTATGAAGTGGTTAAATAATTATTGCAAAGTAAGCAAAAAAAAATTAGTGAAATGATTGGTGTGGTCTTTTGTTGAACCAATAAAATATTTTGATGGTGAAAAGTTGGGGACTTTTTACCATTGATTTAGCTTTCATTAGGGCTTCCTATAAAAAAAAAATAAATAAAATTATTTCACATAAAGAGAAGCATAAACTTTTTGCATTTTGGTCCTTCATTCTTTTCTTTATTTTCTTTTTTCCCCATAATTTGAGGACCCACCCCCTCCCATTCAATAAATAAATAAATAAATAATCTTTTAATTAAAAATAAAAAAATAAAAAAAAATAATTAGGTAGGTTTCCTTTTTGTGGGCATTAAATTGTTGGACTATACTAATTACTCCAAATTAAATCTACATTTTCATCTAATTTAAATAATGAGTCATATATTAATTCATTTAAATTTATTAATATGTTTACTTTATTTAGTTATTAAATGTCGGATCTATACGAGTTAGGTTCAGAAAATCTTTTCGACCAATCTGAAATTTCGAGTTGATTGAATTGGTGACCCGAGCAATCCAAATAAAACTCCCAACCTAACCCTCTATTTTTGGGTCGGGTTAAGTGGGTAATCTAGGGTTTGTTGAATCCTACGTTGGATATAGTGAAGCTAGAGGTCAACCTAAACTTTGACTCTTCCTCTTTATTTATATATATTTATTGAAATTTATTATTATTGTTATCAAACATTCGAACTCAACCATTGTTTACGTTAAATGTTCGAGATAGGAACTCTATTTAAATGGGCATTTTAGACTATTCCCACAAATTAATACGGTTCTTTATCCTCATTCACATGCTTCTTAGGAAAAAGAAGAAGAGGTCACCCAACACGGGTACTTCTGAAGTTCAAAATGTCATCAATTCATTCATGTACTTCTTTTTTACACGGGTGTCGCATGCCCACCAGCTTCTGTCCTTGTTCGTCCTCGAACCAACTGGGAGAGGTATCTTTTTAGGGTTTCAAGAGAGATTATATACGGAAATGGAATATGATTAAATTAATAAAGACAAATCAATGTTCCATTTGTTTATTATTATTATTATTATTTACTAATTTTACCAAATGTCAACCATTTCTGAATTTGTTTATATACGGAACTAAGATTCAAAGCATTTAATTAATTCCAAAATTTTATTTTTTTATTTATTATTTATATATTCTTGAATTTTGTTTATATTGAATCATTTAAATTTGTTTTCAATAATAAAAATATATACGAAAACTTTAATATATTAGCATAAATTTTTCGGGTTATTAAAAAAAATTACCTTACAAATTATTAAAAAAATTATTTTTAAAAGTTGCTGATGAATAATTAATTAGAAAAGTTATGAAATAAAGAAAAATAAAATAAATATCTGTACATATAATTGTATCATTAAAAAAAATGTATTTTTAAAATTAACAATAAATTTAGATCGACTCGATTCAATCAATTTAATCTTAGGATTAAATTTATAAATTTTTTTATTTATTTGAATTCGATTTTTTTTAATTATTATTTACTTTTACTCTGGATGTTCGTAAAACAAACTAATCTTATCAGCATAAGCAACGACCAAATAATAATAATAATAATGATAATGATAATATAAACTAATTAAAGTAGTAAAAATAAGACAAAAATATATATATATATATATAGTAGTTTAGAAGAAGTGGGTGTGAAGAGGAAATAAAAACATTAAATAAAACATTGATTTGGTTTGGTGTAATGTAATATTTGGGAAGAAGTCAAAGGGAGAATCTCACATTAATACCTAATTTCCATCATTTCTCCAAATTAATGTTTATTTAATTTGTTTCCCAATTTTGCATTCATACCTTGTTTTATGGGATTTGGTCACACATTTCATTCAAATACATACCTAACCTAGCTACACTCATAATTTATCAACCATATTTTTTAATCCATTCTTTACGTATCGTTTTAAGAGCTACTTTTGTTTTTCAAAATTATCTCATTAATTTATTATGAGATAATTTGTCCTACTTCTAAAATTTCATGAGTATCTTTGAATATGGTATTACGATAAGAGTATTTTTGAAAGGCATTAACAAAACTTATTCAAAGTGTAAGAGTATTTTTCAAACAAATTGCGTAATATTTTTTTAAAAAAATTATTAAATTATTATAAAAATCTTTAATATTCAGATAAATAAGGTTTGTTAACTTAAATTAAATTTGTCAACAAAAAAAAAAAAGTGAAATAATATTTTAATTAATTGAGTAATGGGTTTTTGGAAGATAAATCCGTTTATATTGGTGAGAATAATTAATGGTCACGTGATGCAATTAATTTTATGCAACAAAAGAATGCGATGGATTGGTGTCTTTACTTTTTTAAATACCCATTTAACTAACCCTTTTCTTTTCCTAATGCAACTTGTTCTTAATATTTTATTTATTTATTTATTATTATTATTATTATGATTACTTAATAATTATTTAGTAATTTTTGGGATCGAGTCATGCATAAGCACAAGGGTCAATGCAAATTTGTCTTCTCTTTTGTACGAAATCAAGCATCCACACTATCCCATAATGTAATGTTGGATCCAAATAACTATTGGATTTTCTTTGTTTTCTACCAACAAACTTAATATATTAATATATTATATTGTATATTGTTGTTTCAAATTTGTTTATTCATCATTTGTGTTAAATTCTAAATTCCATAGTATTCAAATTGTACTTTAGAATTTTTAATGATGTGATTTGTTCATGTAGTTAACTCGATAATGATATGATATGCCCATTAAATACATACCGACTAACTTAAGAAATGTTAAAAGAGGGAGGATTAGATATCCATCTAGATTGGAAAGGAAAAAAAAGTTACAAAACTAGTACTATCTCATCAACTATAACCTTAATTGTGGATCTGTTAGGTTTGTGAAGTATTTTAAACAAGAAAGAGTTGATCCTTTTGGTATGAACAAACCTTCCTTGTCAATTTCAATGGATTCCAATTGATATTGGCATCGATTCAACCAATTTTGTACGTTTGGTTCTCACGAAATTCCATTTCGGCAGGAATTTTAAAATTTTCATAAACCTATACGATGGTTACGATGCCAATTTCTACCAAAATCCAACACGATCCCACGTACACTAAATCCAAAAGGGAGAGAGAGAATTGGAATAAATATTGAGCTTTTTGCTTAAATGGGCTTCGTGTAATTTTGGGCTTCGAAATGCAAGATTGAAGACGGCCCAACTTTCCTCTGGAATGTTAGCTAGAAATGGGAGGGTTCAAACAAAGGTGGAAAAATGATAACAGTAAAAGTGCACTGAATTATTTGGGAGGGGAAAGGGAAATAAAAGAACTTTTAAAGGCATCAGAGCTGGTAGGATGATCAGAATCATAAAAAAGAAAATTCCTTTTTTTTTTTTTTTTTTTTTTTTTTTTTTAATTATTTTTT